AAAACACATCGAATTAGAGCTTTTTCAAAGGTGGATAAAAATCTGATTCAGAGTTCAGAATTTGAATCGAAAATAACAAATCAGAAAAACACACCATTAAATATGATGTAAAATGTCCACTAAAGGCGTATAAAAATTTCAAAACCAGGGCCACTAAATAGTACGTAACTGTTAATATTTGCAGTTTTACAGGATTGTTTTCTCTTTCGCGTTGTCAATGTTGCCTCTTCCATAATTCATAAAAATCAGACTCAGGCAATTCCATTTGAATTTTCGGCCCTTTTAAAATCCAGCCTTACTCACATGCGAGGGATTACAGATGTCAAAACATTTCTGCACACTTTGTCCGACTGCGACAGAACCAAAGTTTAGCACGGGACCGCCATGTTGTTGCTCAGCTTTCGAACTCGGGCTTCTCAACTGAAGACACGGGTACTTGGCTTTCACCGAGGGAGCAAACCAGATAAGAGGCGAATGATTCCACATGCAGCCTTCACGTGTTCACACACTTGGAAGTGTGTTGGTCGAGAATGACAGTACCCACTCCCTGAAGACGCACGGCGACGCAGCAGTCGGCTTTTTCCCCTTCCTCCCCGAAACGGCAAGCAGCCAGTTTGTTGTACAAGAGCGCCTGCTGTGGCTGGAACACAACCATGAGCTGAATCTCCTGGCTGGGCTTCAGCACGCCTTCCTCCGGACTCACTTGAAAAGGTTCCGGACACTCCCAGTGGAAGTACGTGTGCAGTTTGCTGCGTGACAGACGCATCACACGGGCAAGACGATTGACGGAAAAATTAAGAGTCCAACAAGGACATTTTTTTTAGGTCAAGGTCGGGATGATATGATACCTGAGATTCTTCAGCAGAAAAGGAGCAGAAGCGGCTTGATGCACCGCACAGAGTGGAAGAAGCACAGTGTCGGGAACTTCGAGGGCTGGAGAGGGAACCACAGCCTGAAGCGATACTTGGAAGCTGCCATCTTTGCCGTGAAACTCGATGCTGTCCTCGTACTTGCACTGTCCAACACATGGGAGAGGGACCACGTCAAACACCCGTGTGCGCTCGATAGTCTTAAACCAATCTATGACGAGCAATATGACCTTCTCTTCAGGTTTAAAAGTGACCGGTATGGACAAAGTCGTCCCTGGGCTCACGGCGACGTTGCGGGAACTGGAGATGCTGAAGAATTTGGTCACCGGAGGTCTGAGAGGGAGCCAAGACGGGATACTCATGCGGATAGATCCAATTCTTACTTGCGTGTTGTCTTTAGAAAACCACTGCCGACCTTAACTGAAGTTTCTGGAGCTTGAGGCCGATGTTCTTTAATGTTAGCGACTTGGTGAATTCTCCGCCTTCATCCCAGTCCTCCCATAGCAGCTCGGGCTTCGTTTCAAGGCCCAGGAAGCAGCTTCTTTGAATGGGCGCACGCCGCTTGTGCTGGTGGTGAGTTACTGGATGCTACCAGGGGAGGAAAAAGAGAGAGAGATAAATGATGGAAGAACTATGCAATGAAAAGAAGGCTGCAATGTATGTTCTCGCCGTGCTTTTGTATTCTGCACCATAAAAAAAAAAAACCTTACTTTGGTATTGTTCACAATAATGGAGGACTTCCACAGTGCTTCTGACCCAATTGGCTTTGGACCCTCAGACTCAGCTAACATGACTGCAGACAAGGAAGACGTGAGGGACGTGTTTCCTATGTTCATATTTACATGATAATCTGAATAACCTGAACGACATTATACTACGCGGGGAACACAAATATGTATTTTCTGTCCAGAATATAAGAAGAGGAAAGACAGCCTATGCGTCACCAGCATCGATTACGTTCACGAAAAACCACCACCAACAACAACAACAAAAATAGCCAGACAATATTGGAAAGGTGACGGAATACGTCCATACGTTCATTCATGCTTGCAGTTAAGATGGCACGCTTAAGTTTATAACACGCCAGTGTTTGAACTTAGTCAAGTACAAAGTCGCCGAGAACAAAAATCAATTAAATAAATTTGATACATTTAAAATGGTTGCGCGTTAAAGGCTTGCGGGCTTAAGTACAAGTTAAGTAACCGCTTAGCACTTTCGCTAGCTCTTATCTTTACACGCTAAATTATTATTAGATTACTTGTACATCTCTGTCCTTAACATAGAAGGCTTTGTGTTAAATTACATACCAATAAAATCACTCAACTTCCATTTTACACTCTTGACACCGACACATTAAAAGCCCAGGTCAGAGTTGAACTGTTCATGTTAATCGGAGCCAAACACACGCTTACCTGCTTCAAGTAGGACAACTTTGCGACAGCAACAACGTATTCTATTTGTGTTGTATGTTTAGAATAAAAAACAATAAAAAATACATCAACAACCGCGTAGAGGAATTTGGAGTTTAGTGAGTCCTTTAAATGTTGTATGTTGCCATGGTAACTACGGAAGCTGAAGGAGGACGACAAAGCAAAGCAGTATTGTCGTGTTTTTTTTTTTTTTTAGCACAAAATCAACACATCGTCTTGGCGTATATTTGCCAACTGCGTGTCCTAAAGATAGGTTGCATCGCTTTGCCATTTGTTCTTCACATGAACTTTATTTGTTGAGCAATGGTATTCCTCCTTAAGGCCCCCCCAAAAAGTTTTAAATAAAAACGACATTTGCAAAAACAGGATAATATATATTAATTATATCACTCTGAAAATATGAATCACACTCATTGAGAACATTTTAAAAAACAAACGGAAACAAGCTAACAAAGAGTAGCATTCCATCAAACAGGTTATGTGTGAAATCTATGCTTACATTTTCCTGCCATAACAAATTCATTTCATTCACAGTTGCATCAATTTTATACTGGACAAAAAAAAAAGAAAAAAAAAGAAAAATGCTTCAAAACATTGTAAGGTCTCTATGTGACTGTTAAGGCTTCCGAAAAAAATTTCAATTTTTTGTCTATCTTCGCTTGGCCCGTAAACCAAACCAGTAAGCACTAATAATAGCCATGCAACAACAGAAAGTCTGAAGTGCTGGTGCAGTTACTATGCTTGCCCATAGAGATGAAATAATTTAAAATTATATTCCATGACTATGTAAACAAACATCTTGCAGTTCTGTGTGGACTCTGAAGTCTGGCTCAGGATCATGACAGCCCATTCACAAACTTAACGCTACGTGTAAAAATTCATTGCGGTTTGACACAACATTTCAACGACTGACTTGAGATAAATAAAATCTGCGCACCTGCTACATTGTGCATTGGCCTCTCCGGAGCAATATACAAACACAAACAATGAAAACACATGTCACAACTATGGGAAAACCCCACTTCGTCTTGAACTTCCCTCCTCCAGTTCCTCTTCCAAATAAGACCGGTAGTTCTCCGTGACACCTCCGGCACGCCTCAAGAGGGAGCCCAGAGAACCCGGCAGCACATTCGGATCCTCATCCTCTTCCTCGCCTTCGAGCTCCTCTTCATCCTCCAGGCTGGAACTCGGAGAGTCCACCTGGAGCTGGACACTGTCGGCCCTTTCGCCGTCGCTCAGCGGGGACGTCGGGTTAGCGTGCTCCTTCGCTTTACGGCTTCGCTTCCACTTCATTCGCCTGTTCTGGAACCAAATTTTAACCTGTGACAGAGTAGCGAAAGGCAAGTTTGAACATTGCAGGCGGTTGTCACATTGTAACTCGACATTTGCAATTTCTGTTGAAATTGCATGTAAATGCGGACATGCTGAATGTTAAAATAAGCACATCTGTGGAATGATGTTGAATAATAGAGAACAATATGGAATTATATTAAATGATGTGGAATGATAATGATGAATGGAGGATTTTTATATATATATTTTTTTTGGGGGGCGTGAAAATTTTTGGCATGTTGAAAATTGTTCGCAAGGTGAATTAAATGCGGTGAATAGTTTGAATTTTAAATGGCAACGGTGATGTAAATCTGTTTTGCTGAATGTGTCAATGGGATCGAAAATGATTTTTTTTTTTTTGGTGGGCATTTTAGTGGTGAAAATTTTGGCAAGATGAAAATTGTTACAAAGGTGTATTGAATGAGTTGAATGTTTTGGTTTTCAAATGGGAACGATGTTGAATGTCCCATTACGAATGAATGGGGCGATTTTAGTTGAAAATGTGGAATTTGGGGAAAAATGGGAATTTTTGTGGGGAGAAAAATAATAGTCCGTAAGGTGAGTATTTTTGGAATAGTTTGACATTGGAATGACGTGTATGGGATGAATTATGTGAAAGTAAATGTGTGTTAAAATAATGGGCCGAAGAAAAATACAGGTGACAAATTCCTTGTCCGTTTTAACATGCAGCACTGTGCCAATGAAGATGATTTGGATTCTAATTCCCAAACTCCACATGACTTGACAGACTTCAGTGGAGTGGAGTGCTTTCGCACACAATGTGGCCAACGCGGTGCAACGGCAGTGATCTGCAGACAGTACCTGCGTCTCAGTCAGCATGAGTGAGGTGGCCACCTCAAAACGTTTGGGTCTGGAAAGGTACTTGTTGACCTTGAACTGGTTTTCGAGTTCCAACAGCTGCTGGCTGGTGAACGCTGTCCTGGGCTTCCGACACTTCCCCAACAATCCGGCTTGAGGTGGCGCTGCTGAGGGACGTGGCGTGGTTTTTCAGATTAAAATAGATTTCAATCGTGTTATTTGCACAGTAGTTGATGGTTTTGTTTTGCTATTGCTGTAAATATACTCGGTATTTCATTGCAATATAAAATGACTCGACTGTAATCAATACAACAGCATTTACTCAATTGCATACACATATGTTTATATTGCATTTGTATTATGCTTGCAGGTTCATTTAAGGTGCGTGAAACGAGAAAAATAATAGAATTATTCAATTCCATACAGCATTAGTCATCATCCATTTAAAAAAAAAAATACTTCAGAATATTTTAAAACCTTGAAATATGCAGCCTTCTATTGTTCAGGACTGTCAGGCCCAGCTCTGCTTCCCCAAGATGATATTGCTTTGAAGGAGCAATAAAAACCCACATAGGTCCATTATCGAAATGAAAACACGGTAAACATTATCCATTGATGAAGTGCTTGCTCTAGTTCGGGTTTTACACATTTTTGCATCTCATTGAACAAGATAAATCATCCCGAACAGACAAGTTAAAAGACGCCCACACAGCCCCAAGTCTACTGTTTTGGATCGCGAAAGGAGATTACAAATGCATTTGTTACAGTAACTCAAACGGTTTTCGCATGGATTTGCAACAAAGGTGTATATAGAAAATACTGGATGATTTTTTTTTAAATTTCAGGGCTTACATTTTGAAATTTAGTTATGATATAAATAACCTTATATTCATGAATAAAATGTTACAGTTACACACAACTACCATACTTATACAGTCAGTCTATATTTCTCTTATATCAGTTTTTGTATATATATGTATGGATGTATATGTTTGGGGTGTTTTTCTGACGTGACGTGGACGCACTGACCTCCATAGTCACCGAATCTGGGGAACATCATCATCCCGGCTCTGATCCAGGGCTCCAGCGGGTGCACCCCGGCCACGCTGCCCGCTGTCAAGTGACCCGGGTACGGCTGGACCAGCGGCGGGAAGCCGGGATACGCGAAGGCGGACGGCTGGGCGCCGACAGCCGCCAAAGGGTACACGGACCTCGGGTGCATTCCGAGGAACCCCGCGGCGGCGACGTGCATGGCGCCGAACCCCGCCTGGGAGAAGTTGTAGCCGGCGGCGTTGGGCGTCATCGCCGGCTGGGCCTGGGTGGCGTCGGCGGGCCGAGGGGAGGGCGTCCCGGACCGCGGGGTGTGGACGGGGCTCCCGGTGCAGGGCGCCTGCGGGGAAGCGCCATCGCCGTCCGCCGGCCTCTGATCCACATGGTGAGCCAGGAGTGCCTCGATGCGGAAGTTTTTGGATTTCTCCAGGTGGGAGGCCATTCTGTCCATCCCGAAAGTGTGATGCTTCCACGGGAGACTTGAAAGTGCTCTTAGCGAATTCGACGCACTTGATGTGGGCCCCTGTGAGGAGATGTTTCCTTTTTGAGGACCTCTTAAAAAATGCTCACCCATTTCATCAGTGGGCTGAATAGGAAGAAGTCAGAGCCAGGAGCTATAAAGTCTGCTCCACTGTGATTGGCCAGGAGCCTTGGGGCAAGTGGCTTGACAGCAGAGGATTCACACACTCCGGTGAGAAGAATACTGCTGCCACACCAGAAAAAAAAGGTCAACATCCGAAAAAAAAAAGTTCAATCATACATAACAATGAATTTCGCATTTGAATGAATTTTACATTACAAGGTGAAAAATAAAATTACAGTACAGCGAGATCATGTTCTTGTTCTAACAGTATATTTATCTGGTTAAACATGATCAAGTGGTGACTTCTGGCTAGTGGAGTCCTCTTTGTCTTCAAAGTTACCAGCTGTGAAACCATCTTGCTCTTCTTCGATACTGTGAAAAAAATAAAAATAAATAAAATAAAATAAGGCCATGTGTTAAATAATTAAATAATACAAAATAATACAGTAATTAAAATATTTCATATTTAAAAGGAAGACACACGTTGGGTTCTCCCTGTGACCTGAATCGGAAGGAATTCTTTTGTTGAGCTGAATGCAGTCATCAAATTGATCGTTTTCTTCATGACAACCTACTACATTAAAACATGAAATATCCTTCAGGATTTTGGGGCAAAGAGCAGAATTCATGTTTCGGTGATCAATCACAGCAAATCGTCCATGCCCTGGAATGGGACAGCAGCCCCAGATCATCACACTACCACCACCATGTTTGACTGTTGGCATCATGTTTTTCTTCTGAAATTTTACATTGACGCTTGGCATAATCTGACACACATGTTCCATAAAGTTCCGCCCCCAAAAGTAAGCCGAGCCTTTCTGTTCTTTTTGGTTGACCGTAGTTTCTGCCTCTGAATTCCACTGTGGATGTCTCTTCTGAACTGTCGAGTCGTGAACCTTGACTAAGGCGAGGGAGGCCAGCAGTTCTTTAGATTTTGACTCCTGGATGTGTCATCGATGTGCTTTTGGGCGGGGGGTCACTCCTGGAAAGTGGGGAAACTGAAAAACAAAAGACTTTAAATACTTTCTCACAACACTGTACAGTACGTGTCATTCTTTGGTTAGCCCGGTGTGCTTACATCCATATCGCCGTGATTACAGTTTGCGGAAAGCCATCAGTTTACAACTAACTCTTCATTACCTTTTATGAGAAGAAGCCCAACAAACTTTGAGGCTTTGCTGCCGTTTTATCACCGCGCACATGCACCAAGCAGATTAGAAGTCATAAACGGCAGTAAACTCATTTTCTCCTCAGTGTGGACCAACGAGGTGTGAACAAAAGCCCTCTGTGTCATCAAGTTAGGATTAAAAACAGAAGAGGCGGCCAACACCTGACGCAAAGTATGAATAGTTTTTTTTTTTAGTACAAAGTATACGATACTCTTATGGTCGTTTAATACGCATAAATAATGGCTGAATGGAAATCTGTGGACATGATCTTCAAGGTGTCACTTTCGAGCCTCAAACTCTGATGACGGACTGGCACGAATAACTTTATGCGTCCAGGGCGACATACATTTCGCGCTTTATTACAGTTTTATTTATTCCAGCATCAGGTCATGATCATCAAGTATTGTCGTTTGAAAACTTGTCCTCACTTTTCACTGCAGGTGATTTCCCCCAGCAGCTCACGGCGGACTGATAAGAAGCTGCAAGGCTGCGGCAGGCTTGAGAAAACAAAACCGCTTGAAAGACAAACACACCAACACCTGCTGGATGACCGTCTGTGTGTGTGTGTGACTGTGTGTACACACGTGTTTGCATGACACCATTTTATTATCTCTGAGTCATTACATGACGATTTTCTGACGAGTAATCTAATAGACTCAAGCGGTGAGAGTCATTCTCGTGAAGTGTCCCCGATTTACACAAGATGTTTTGCTGTTCTTTTTAAGCGGGGTACACACATACAGATAATCGATTATCGGATGTTCCCGAAAAGATTAACCCAAGCATGTGGTGTAAATTTCGCTCTTTGATGTACTCTGAAAACAGTCACAGGCAAAAGTTGGAAAGGTTAAACCTGTTCAATATTGACGATCAGAAATCCTGACACGTCACTCTACTTGACTCCAGTCACACTTGCTAACTAATTTTAGGACTCTGGATTTACCGTTTTGGCCCGAATATAAGACGGCCCTGATTATAAGACGACCCCCTCTTTTTCAAGACTCAAGTTTGAAAAAAGACTTTTTGAACACCAAATTAATTTTTACACAGAAAATAATTACAGTACATCTGAAACAAAATGATTATAACAATATATTTGAGAGAAAGAGCTTGTTATTTTTCCTCATTCAAATCTAAAGTGCAATCACATTCATAAATGAATGGCTTCTGGTTTTTGAAATGTAAATTACATCATAACTTCTCCTCAGCTGCCGGTTAACCTGGCCGATCTTCGACCCACTTTTCTCCAGATTGCTACTACAATTCTCCATTTTCTGTTATCTCTTCAATTATTTTCTTCTCTTTTCCTTGCTACCGCTATTTTTGTTTTTATTCTTCGTGGCAGGGGTTCACTTTGGCCTGGGAAGTCAAGCATTCGCTTCAATGATATCTGGCGCCATCTAGCCTCGTGAATCGGTATAATGTCTAGACCCCGAATATAAGACGACCCCCACCTTTTCAGTCTTATTTCAATGCAAAAAACACCATCTTATATTCGGGCCCCAGTTCACGCTGTATTTGCGTGCTTACCGCTCTTATCGTGTGTGGTGCACTCGCAACGCACACCATACTACAAGATAACCTCTAAAAGACATCAGATGATCCAAACTTACAAATTCATGAGGTTCACCAACAGTGATTAGAAACTTCCGTAAATGTTTTTTTTTTCCTGATCCAAAACACACAGAAATGAAAAAAAAAGAGACTCTTTTCACAGACGAGTGACACAAAGTGCGTCACCCCCAGGCAGAACATCATTTGGCATAACTGCACAGACGCACCAGCCCAAGAGCGATACAGCACCTCCTCTTTCTCTCTCCACTCACCATTCACTTTGGATCCATTCATACCCAAATGGAGAGAGGTTAACGCAAAGGGCCATGTCTGCCAACCCACCACAGTCGCGAGGTGAAGAGGTTACGCCGTCCCTGTTCGCTGCTCAAGAACGCGAGAAAACAATCTGCCCTTCTCATGCAGAGTCACCCTCGCATTTGGAACTTTTGCTGTGTCCTCTGCTGCAGTGATTCCCGAACACTAATGTGCCACAAATGGTCATCGGGTGCTCTGCGGGAAATGCAAAAAAATATGTGTGTGTGTGTGTGTGTGTGTGTGTGTGTGTGTGTGTGTGTGTGTGTGTGTGTGTGTGTGTGTGTGTGTGTGTGTGTTGGTGGCGGTCACCGTTCTGCCTGCCGTGGCAAAATTGTTCAAATTGAGCCACGAACATGGACACCGTTACCACGGACGGTGCAATAAAGGTTACTCGAGGCCACTCGACTCATTTTGAGCGCAACGCTCTTCCGAGCATCAATTCAGTCCGGCGACCAAACCTGCGCTGAGACATTAAGGCGTGAGAATAGTACAGCCTGCATTGTGGGATTTCCGAGTTTTTTCCGATTGCCCTAACGCAACGCCTGGGGAAAAGAATACTTCCTGTACCAGCAAAGGCGAGGGGTGGGTGTTACGGGTTGCAAGGTTCATCGTGTTTCAGAAAGGAGTTGATTAATGACATTTGTCATGGCGGAGGCCGGGACATAATGAGGAGAACAAGGAGGGAGGAGCAGAGGAGGAGCAGAGGCCCAGGAGCTGAGCTTGGATGATTATTACTTAGCACGGCGAACAATGAGACGACAGTACAATGAGATAAGACCCGCGGGTCGGAAGACAAGAGTGCAGAAGGAGTTTGGGCCGGGGGGGACGTAGCTAATTAGTCCTAAACAGGGGCCCGTGCGAATGAGGGGAGGGCTCAGACACACGTAGGGCTGCTCATCACATTAAAAAAAATGGGCCAGCGGAGAGTAGTTCAACATCTGTTGCTCTTTGGGACACCCACGGCGATGTGGCCGGCCGGCATCGCGTAATTACTTCAAATGGTCATCCTTACATGAGGACATGAGGCCCGACAACGAGTACGCCGGATTGAAAAAGTCAAAACGCACCTGTTCAGATGACAGCTTTTGTGATATCAATAAATAATAATTTCAAAACGTTTTTTTAACACCAAGATGTTCTAGTAGGCTTTTCGCTACATTTTACAGCTCACAGCGTGACGTGCAGAGAGAGAGAGAGAGAGAGAGAGTCAATGCACCGAGAAAGAAATGACCCGGATGAATGAGGTTGTTCGCAAGCCCACAATATGATCCGAGCCCAAAATTCCTAGAAATTAGGAATTCGGGGCAAGTCATAATTTCCAACTAAATCACAGAGCTATAAATTGGATCGCAGCCTCCAAAATGGCAAACACGGAGTTAGCCCGCACTGGTTCTCTGCATCACAAAATGCATGTTTGAACATTGGGTTAGCCCAGCTGAGGAATCAAAGGCAAGGTAAAAGTAGTGCGTCTTTTTTTTTTTTTCTCGACCTGTTCATAACTCGAAACCTTTAGCTCATTATTTAGCCCATCCTTCTTTGTGTATCCCTCCTTCTATTTACATTGAATCCTCATCATTCTCTCCACCGTGTCATCGTGGAGGCAGTCCAATTAGCCGCACGGTGCACGGCCACGCCCACCAATTCATGCGTGCTGGCTTTAATCAAATGTGACGTGCGGGCGATTGCGTACGTGGTGAACCGTAACACTTTATCGCCACCTCAAAAGATGGAGGCATAGCACCTCTCATCTCAAGATTGCGTTTCGACTCCTCTTCATGGTCCGCCAGCACCTCATGAGTCCGGACAGAACAACATGCGTACCGGTACTTCAAGTGAGGAGGGGTGCGTCATGTTGTTAACAAGAATGAAAGGTCACATGAGGGAGAAGTGTAGGTTTAGTTCACGGTGATTGTGATTTACAGCCTGTCAATTCAGACAGTAGCCAATCATGCAGAGTAGGTGGGGCAAAGTTGCAAATCCTTGTTTGTTAGCAGTCTATATCAACACCAAGCAGGGTTTGACATTTGGTAATGTTGCCGAGAAAACCCTGCG